AGCATAGAACTTATTAACGAGTCAGTTTAATATTTACCCAAATGTGTTTCCTTATTGTTAAAAGGAGAATGTGATTTTATCTCTTAAGAATATGTTGAATTAAGTAGATTCAAGGTATGGAAATACAACTAGAATCTTAAACATATTAAGATAGTAGGTGTCTTTGTAGTTTAAGAATGGTTTATATTATGATGAATGGTTATGAGGTGTGAGAAATGTAAGAAGCAGTTTTGAGGAGATGTACCATATTGTACTGTAAAGTACATATACAATGGAATTTGGAGATGTGAGATGGTTAATATTAGGAATTATAATGATTGTCCTTTGGGAAATGCTAATCAAGTTGTTGTACTTACAAGTTTAAAAGTTTAAAGGCATTTAGCACTAAAAGAGAAATATGTAAGATATAGAGCTTGTGTTTCTTTTAATCATTTTAGAGATGAGGTATAAGTTAATTTATTGATTTTGTTGGATTATCTTTGTGTGAAGGAATTTTATTCATGATATTAATATATTCTTACCATGGGTTGTAATGGTCAATTCTAGGGAGAGTATTACCCATACAAATTGTCTTATGTTTGATAGTTCTTCTACAAGAATGTTTGGTTAAAGATTAAAGATAAGGGTTTATAATGGAAGTATATTTTGTAGAAGTGATATGTTGATCTCATGCATGATATATTGTGAAGATACCCATAGTCATCCAAGGTTTGAATATGGAAACTTGTGGATTTGTTGAGTGGTCTAAGCAAATGATGTTGAATAACTAATTTCCTTCAATGGAGTGATGGTATCGTAGGGAAAGATGTTTTGTCATTAAAGATTTGACAGATTCGAGGATTTAATTTGTAAGAAAGTATCTCATGGGAATTCTTTTCTGAGTGATTATAGGGTTTTAACTTTACTCAATTGATGGTAAAATTGAATTAGCATCGAGGACATCGAATTTTGCATTGGTCTTGGAATTGTGAATATTAAATTTCTATGTTATAATTATAGCACTATGGCATAAAAGAGTTCTAATATCTTGGAACAAAGAGAACAGGGTCATTTGTGTGCACAAAATGGAGATTATATATTAGGTGAACTTTGATGTCATACATATATAAATCATGTGGATTTGAAAAGGATTGAAATGATGATTTTAGAAGAAATCTAAAGTGGTATGGAAGTTTTATGGATGTTGATTTTGTAGGACACTATAGGAGTTTTCTAGAAAAAAAATATATTATATCACACATGATTCGAAGTTAGAGTGAAATGATGGTTTTGTTTTTTTTCATATTGAGAAATTACCTGTACAGTGGAAGACTTGAAAAATTTTTACTAATTTTAAGAGTAAGTTTCTTTTGTTAAATAGACGTGAATGTGAGACATAAAAAAAATAGTGCTTCGAATTTTGAAGGATTATGATATGATCATTGCTTGTCATCTTAATAAGGTTAACAAGGTTGTAAATTCTTTGAGTAAGAAGTTCTTGTGTAGTTTACCATATTTGGTTGCTAAGAGGAGTTGTTTTGAGGGGATTAGATAAATATGAAAGTTAGATTATGAGCATGTTTGAGTAAACTCTTAACTGCTTGTAAGTATAGTTTAGTCAATAAGAACATTGGAACTACACATGTAGAATAATGATTTGCTTGAGGAAGGAAATGAGTTGGAGACATGATTTAAAATTGTGCTTATTGAGAATTATGGTGAATTTGGTTATCATTAATAGGTTGATTAAGTTTGCTGATTTTCTTCACATCAATATTGGTATGTCAATAAATAGACTGGCAGAGTAATATGATAAGGAAATAGGAAGGAGTATTGTATTGATCACTTAGTTTATCTTGTGATTTTAAGGAATGAATGAAAAAGGTTTAGTGAAATTGAGGTTTGAGATTTAAAATTATGATGAATTATTTCTCTAAATAGCAGTAAATGATTTTGGTTGATTTATGACTTATCAAAGTTTAGAAATTGTGATCATTAATTGGAGTGGGATTAATTTAAGTTGTTATGCAAAGATCAATTTCTGGTAACCATAAGGTCTTATGATTGATTGATGAGTTATTCATGAAAAGCTAGAAAACCATGAGATTGCCTTTACTTTAGGAGGATGATTGAAGAGGAAATTATAAAGAAGGCATGGCATAACTCTTGTGGAGTTGTAGTAGGGTACCCATAACAAGAAGGGAAACAACGTAAAAGTTGGATGAGGAATGAGGAAGTGAAAAAGAAATATCAGGAGTTGTTCATAGACATGTTGAGAGCTTGTGTTTTAGATTTGAAAGGTGCTTGGGATGAATATTTGCCCTTAGTTGAGTTTGCCTACAATAATAGTTATCGGACAAGTATCCAAATGATGCCTTATGAGGCTTTATATGGCAGGAAATATATGTCCCCAAAATGTTGGGATTCAACGAAAACTTAATCCTCGGTTCATTGGTTCTTTTGAGATTTTAGAGAGAGTTGGAAAGGTAGTCGACATATTAGCACTACCACCTAATTTGCCAGAA